AATGAATGTCTGGGCTTTCTAAAATGACCCATGGACATTTTTTTTTTTTAACAAAAAGGCAAAAAACTGAATCAATCCTTACATTTTACTCAAACTCCTCTTTCCCGAAAGGAAGTGTTTGACTTCCTTAGACAATTTGGCCCATATTATCGAACGGAATAGGGGGGACTTACCAGGGAATCAGTCACTCATGAGCGGTGAGAACTTTTCCCAGACCAGCGTCCGTCGCAATCCGGCGAGCAGACTTTTTGTCGGTGTGCACTACCGAGGTTTCCTTGGGGCAGGGGTCTCCATTCCGACGAAGAATCCGTACCTCGAGCCGCACGTTTGGGCGCCACCTGCCCCGGCCCGCGGGGCTCCGGTAATTCGTGGGTCCGAGGTGGATCACGCCTGTAAATAATGGGCGGGAAAGAAAGAGCGGGACCAAGCAAATTCTCTTGTCAAGGCCAATTTTTATTGAAACCAAGGAGCTTTTTAAAGAGAAGAGAGGAGCAGAGAAAGAGGAAGTGGGGGGAGGGATGAGTTAATTGTTCTCAGGTAGGTGTTCTGAATCTCCTGTGTTTATCTCAGGCACTAGCTAAGGAAATGGGGGAGGGGATAGGTGTTAGTTGTTCCTTGGGCAGGTATCCGGAATCTCCTGTGGTAAGCTAGACTTTCTGGCGTCTAACTAGGTATGGGGTCGCCAAGGCTGGCTTCTGACACTTTCTCTGCAGAGACACTTCCTTTGATTCATTCTCAGGTGGTTGATATTTTCCTTTGTTGTTTGTACTTTTGGAGTCATATCTAAGAAACTACCTGCTCTAATGTTATGAAGGGTTTTGTCTGTTTCATTCTAAGCATTTACAGTTGCAGGTGCTACAATTAATCTTTAACCCACTTTGAATTAATTTGGGGCATGTTATAAAACAAAGATCCAATTGCTTCTCCAGTACTGCTTGCTGAAGACTGTACCTTTCCTAATGTTTGGAGGACTGGATGACTGTGTATGTGGGTTCATTCTGGGATTTTTATTTGGTTCCATTGATCTGTGTTTTGGAGGATTTGCTGTTTTGTTGTTTGTCTCGTTTTGCTGGTGCTGGGGCACTGAACTCAGGGCTTTGTGCATGCTAGGCAAACACTACCCTTGAAACATATCCCCAGGGTTTTTTATTGTTGTTATTTTAGTGTTCCGTGCTGCCTTTTAACTTTTAATTTAACTTATTATTATTATAAATGATTCCCTCCGTCTGCTTTCCCCTCCCACCTCTTGTGGGAACTGTCATGGGCATCCTTGCACAGTCTGTTCTCACCTTCTGACTTCACTTGGGTTCTGAGGATTTTACTCACTTTATCAGGCTGACATAGTCAGGTAGCAAGCTCCTTTGCCCTCTGAGCCATCTCACTGAGCCTTGAATTCTTTCATTGTTCACTTTTTAATGCATAATGAAGCTGAGAACTGATGCTTTTAGAACAAATTCAGGCTCAAAAGGCTTGCTTTGGCTCTACAGGTCTCTTGTGGTTCCTTGTGAATGCTAGGATTTCTTTCTGTTTCTATAAGATGCCACTGAGAGTGTGATAGCTCTTTCATTTAATCTGTAGATTGCTTCAGGCCATTTGTCATTTAAGCCATATTGTTTTATAAAGAACCAGCATGCAAGGTCTATTTGATTTATGTCTTCTTGGTTTCTTTCTTCACTGACTTCTGATTTTCAGTGTTTGAGCCTTTTATTTCTCTGATTTTTACTCCTGAGTACTTTATTCCATTTGGAGTTATTGTAAGTGGGATTATATTTTGCACATTTCTTTTAGTAGATTTTATGTTCAGAAACACAACTGATTTCTGTAGGTTGGTTTTGTTTCCTGTAGCTTGACTGCATTCATTATTCTGTGTTTTGCATTTTCTGTGTATAAAGTCACATCTTCTGTCCGAAGGAGCTTCATCTTTTACTATGAAGATGTTGTTGGTTTCTTTTTTTCCATGTAAGTGCTTTGTTTTTTAAAATTAATTTTTAAAGATTTAATTATTACATAGTCTTCTGCATGCAAGTGTGCCTACACACCAGAAGAGGGCACAAGATCTCATTATAAATGGTTGTGAGCCACCATGTGGTTGCTGGGAATTTAACTCATGACCTCTGGAAGAGCAGGCAATGCTCTTAACCCCTGAGCCATCTCTCCAGCCCATGTTAAGTGCTCTGGTTTTCAGCTCCAGCACCACATCAAGTTGAAGTTATGAGTGTGCCCTTCTAGTCTTTTTTCAGATCTTAGAGACTTTCATTTCCCCCCGTTGAGTATAAGCTATGAGCTTTTCATACAGAGCATTACTTTATTGTACTCTGGTGAATTTTTCTCTATTTAGTTTGACAAAAGTTTTCTTCTTATCATAAAATAATGCTGAATTTTGTCAATTTTTTTTCTGAGCATGTAGCTCAGATTGTAGAATGCTTGTGTATATATGAAGTTCTGGGTTTCATCCCTAGACCATTTCAGACAGGCATGGTTGTGTTTGCTGTCCATTGTTTATTAGTGTTATGTAGTTTTTACACATTTGTGAGATTTCCAGGTTTCCTTCGATCTATTTTTAGTTTCATTCCATTGTGGTTAGAAAAGTTATATGGCATGATTTTAATCCTCCTACATTTACCCAGACTGTGTTAGTGACCTAATACTCAAGCAGTCCTTGAACCCGCTTGAACATATGCACTCAAAAATATGTGTATTCTCTTGCTGTTAGGTGTCAAGTTTCTTTTTCTCTCTCTCCCTTCCACCCTCTGTGTGTGCATTCGTGTATGTGTGTGTTTATGTGTGTTACTGGGGAACAGGAGTTTGCTTTGTGGGTCTTTAGTCTTGCAGATAAAATAATTTTTTAAAAAACTTCTTTATTGAATCTTTGGGGTTTTTACATCATGCACCCCAATTCTGTTCACCTTCTGGTCCCTCCATGTCCCCCGCCTCATCCCTGATGCCCCCACCTTGAAAGAAAACAAAACAAGGTAAGCAAGTAAGCAAACAAAAGCAAGAATGAAAAACCCCACAATAAACCAAAACAGAACAAAACCCATACCAGGAACAGGAAAATCTCTGCTTCTCCTTCTCCCCTGCCTCTCCATTACTTCTTCATCAATCCTGGTAGCACTGGAGGCTTCGGTGTATCATATAGTATCAAGGCCTCTGGTTTTTGGTACACCATCCTCACTGTGTCCTCACCAGAGCTCCTGTGGGGTATCCCATGGCCACCCTGAGTCTTGGAGACCTTCCAGGTATCATTCCATAGGACCAGAACCTTCACGAACTCCAGCCAGGTCCCAGATGGGGTAGATGTGGGTCTGGGTGTTAGCCAGTCAGGTCAGATCCAGCCACTGTGGCCACCTGCCTCGGGTGCAGGGGAGGGGTGGGGGGGGCAGATTCAGCTCCCTTACATGCATGCCCTCAGGGTAGGTTCATCCTCACCTGTAGTAAGGGGTGGTGGCCCCCTCTCCTGAGTGCAGGGGCCAACTCTCTTGCTGTAGTGGCCAGAGAGAGAGAGAGAGAGAGAGAGAGAGAGAGAGAGAGAGAGCCTGGTCTACAGATCTAGTTTCAGGACAGTCATGGCTGTTACACAGAGAAACCCTGTCTCAAAAATCAAAATGAGAGAGAGAGAGGGCGAGAGAGAGAGGGAGAGAGAGAGGGAGAGGAAGGAGGAGAGAGAGAGAGAGAGAGAGAGGCAAGGCCAGATCAGTGAATGTCAGGGCCAACCCAGCATAGCCCTCTGATTTCATCGCTTATGGTTCCTAAAGCTTCAGACATCATATCTGGTTCCACTGGCCACAGACATCAACCTAGACCCCAGCAGTGACTAGACCAGGGACCCAGACATGGTCCTTGGCAGCAGTCTGGGTGTGAACAACATCCTGGCTCTGGGTGGAAGGAATGGACGCTCAGGAATGGGAATGGTTCTGGCAGTCATGTGGCCACTGGATAACACCAAGGCCTCAGGTTGCAGTCCTAGTCTTGGGCCTCTGTGTGACCATAGCTTTTAATGTAGGACCCCAGCTTGGATCCCAGCCATGGTAGAACCATGGACCCCAACATGGTACTTAGCAGCAGCTGGGTCTGGATGTCACCACTGCCCACTCGGCAGTATGGCCAGGAGACACTAACTTGACCCTTGGTCTTGGGTGTCTGCATGGCCTTTCATGGTAACAGGAGCATCAGACAGGAATATCCATCAATGGAGGTTGGTCAGCAGCCGCATGGGTTAGGGTCTGCAGAGAAGCAGGGAGAATATCTGGTTTCAGCCCACACATAGGTAGGATTTTGGTCAGTATGCAAAGAATGGATAGAAAGTGGAGAAAAGGAAACATTGTGCTTTTAAAGAGAGAGCTCAGGAAAGTAGACCAGCAACTGCATGAAGGGAGGGAGCTCTTGGTGGTACAGTGTTAAGTCCTTTATCTTACTAAGGGGTTAATGTTTTCAGGTGATTCAGCTTCCATGAGGGGCCCAGATACTAGCCAGGTGATTGACAGATCTAGCTGGTTTACCTCTTAAGGGAGCTCTTATATTCTTTCTATCTACTTTTGCATGATGTTCTCTGTGCTTCTGAGGGGAAGACATCAATGTCCCATTTAGGGCTGAGTACAGGTAAGGTTGAGTAACAGTCACTTATTCTTGGTACTTTGGTACTTTGACTAGTTATGAATCTCTATATTATTCTATGCTCACCACCTCCACCACCACCAAAAAAAAAGAAAGCTTCTTTTATTAGATATCTAGAAAAGGACCAAGGACCTTAAAAGCCATGGACGATGAACTTCTCCTTACATCACCTTTGGACCCTACATCCCTCTTTGCTAACTCTAAGAAGGAAAACAAGTGTGCCCTCTATAGGCCTCCTGGTTAAAAGAACCAAATACTTGTGGCCCTGGGTAGAGCTCCATCTTGCTGTTTCAAAGATTAGCACATTACATATGATTGTCTATTCCCTTAATAGTTATTTCAGCTGGGCCTGTCAATTATGTAGCCAGGAGCTCACTCCATTCTGAAAGAAAGTTGACTTACTTGAAGGCATGCTAAAAAGATGAGAAGAATAATTATCCCCTTTAGCAGACAATATATTGATGCTTTCCAGCAGCTCCTTCCTCAGGCAGCAACTTACAATGCTTCTAGTGGCTTTCACGAGTTCTTCCTCAAAAAGTGTAACACCCTGTCTAGTTAGGATTTCTACCGCTGTGAAGAGACACCATGTCCACAGCTTCTCTTATAAAGCAAACACTTAACTGGGGTGGTTCACTTACAGTTTAGAGGATTAGTCCATTATCATCACAGCAGGGCATGGCAGCATGCAGGCAGATACAGTGCTAGAGAAGCTGCTGAGAGTCTTACATCTTGATCCACTGGCATAGT